ATAGCCGCAAATCTAGAAAATCTCATTTCTGAACCCTTTTGAGTGGTTTTGACTGATTTGCATATTTCCCATGCAGGTATATATTGTTCTTTCTCAACTGCTTAAAAAGATAAACATTCACCTGTTTTGTCTTTATAAATACAAAACTTTTGTAAACAGTGGTTACAAAATCAAAGTTTCTGATAAATATAGCCATTTTTGTATAAGCTTTAGACATGAGCTGTTAAAATATAACACTTAGAAGCCAGGAACAAAAAGTGTGTTACATAATGCTATCATCTAAAACAGGGGTGTCAAACTGATGGCCCGCGGACCGGATGCATCACATGCAGGCCACGCCCACCCTGGCTCTGCAAAGGCAAAAAATATTGTGATACGTCACATGATGCAATTGAGTTTGACATCCGTGATCTAAAACAAGGAACAGATCCTAAAAATAAGTGGTTTTCTTGCTTCTCCAAGCTGGGAACAACTCGATTATGTGACTCTTTTTCAAATTTGATGTCTGCCTCAAAACAGAAACTCAATGGCTGAACAGGAATTTGGCATTCGCTATAAAGTGTCTTCTTGCAATTGCAACTTATGCCTTGGACTATCTCCTCAGACAATGAGCGGATCCTGAAAAACATTGGTTTTCCTGCTTCTCCTAGCCTGAGAGAACATGATTATGTGTCTCTTTTTCAAATTTGAAGTTTGAAAAGGAAATTGTCTCCTTGGCAATTGTTAAGCCTTGACTAGAGTTCCCCAACCTTTCTGGCTTTGTGCACTGGCGGAGGGGGGGGAGAGGGGATGGAGGTCACCACTTCTGTAGCCCAGTTCTGAATGGCTCAAGGCCTTCTAACAGTTTAAAATTATGAATTAGACTATCTCCTGAGACAAGGTAATGATCCTGGAAACAATTGGTTTTTCTGTAGGGGTTCTGTAACTGGAACTAGAAACAGAAACAAATTGTGTAGCCCTGCCTAACTATTGCTATCTCGCTTCTGTAATCAGCATTTGAGTCAGGGACCAATTTTATGCAAGCATGGGAAACATGTACACAGATGAGATGTACTGAAGGAAGGAATAAGGCAGTGTACAGGAATGATCAATGTCTTATTTGTAATAACTGTTGTCTGATTTTTATTGGCTAACAAAATTTATAAAGCAATGCTGATACGATTGGCCCTTTCCAGGGTGATTTGTGGAACCGGTGATGTACGATAGTCAGGCTGACTATCGGGCCTCGCATGCGGCTTAAGAAGACACGGACAACATCTTTCTTTGGTGAGGTGTGTAGAAGCAGGAGCGAAAAGGCCCCTTGAGTTCTTACGCACCTACTTTTATTAGAGTATAGCAGGTATGGGAGTGGT